ACTAATATATCCAGCACTATAAATGAATACAAATATTAATTAAATACAAATTTGTCTTTTTTTTTCCATTGTAAAAAAAGCAAAGAACATCTAAGATAAAATTAAATGGATATTACAAAATATCTTAACACTGACTTTATAAAGATTATGCAACTGTTATGTTCAATTTAAAACCAAAAGAGCATAAAAACAGCATTTCCATATTGCTTTTGATATATATTGAAAGTTTTTCAAACCATGAATGAGAACAATAAAACAAGAAAAAAAGATCCAGCTTAAATAAAAATGTCATAAGAGCAGGTTTAGTTAAGGTCCTGCATAAAAAAAAACGGAAACAATGTAGGAAGATTTTAAGAAAATCCATGTTATACTTGAGGAAAGAAAGAACTACTAGATGAAGATATAAAGAGCATACATGTTAAACTTGAGAAAAGAGAGGGCTACCAGTTGAAGATATAAAGAGCATGCATGTTAAACTTGAGAGAACTGAAGCAATTGGATATTTTTGAGGAAATATTACAATTGCTTCAGAATTTTTCAAGATTTTATTAATTGAAAGAATTTTTAGAATAAAGTTAAAAACAGTTCTTTAAGTTCATAGACATGGACATATAAAAAAGAGGCAACAAAGAGACGCCTGTATCATGAAATAAGACTAGGAACTAGGAAGCAAGGCCAGGGGCCTAGTTACATAAAAGCATTGCCTAGAAATGACGTGAGTGCACGAGCACCTGTGACAGATTGACGAATTACTGATGCTAACTCCTTAGAACTAGAAAAGCTACGAAAAAGTCTTAGTTAACAAGCGAAAGCGGAACTTTGAAGTGATATCACTTACAGGCCATGGGTGTAGTAGCACAAGTAAATAGGTGACCAGCTAACTCAACTTAACAGTAATCAATTACTTGAGAATTCTGGTTATAATTTTGGATTAACCCGGGGATTCCCTAAAGCATCCAATAGGATGACAGGACTACTTGCAGGTAGTGCTGTGTACTATTTAGATGTTCGAGATAATACCAAGAAATTGTGATTTATAAACCCATGTCTGGAGCTGAAAATCAATTCCTCCAGGATTCAGAAAGTTCCTTTAGAACTTCTGAAGTTTACACTGGCAACATGAAGGTTTCCAACATCATTAGATTTCCACATCCAACCACGTTGTAAGTAGAATTTATAACCTTTCTCTTAGTCAGTTAATGCAAGTACTCTAAAAAATACTATGTTAAAGGATATTTATGAGTATTAATGGAAAGTGTGTATTAATGGTGCTTATAAGTATCTAAATGATTAACCGAGTTTGAAAAGTACTTAATGTTTTGCTTTTCATTGAACAAAGTTTTGTTATTATTGAATGTTAGTTAAACGATTATAATAAATGTATTATAATTGTTCCCTGCTGGTCTCGGGCTCTATTTCTTTGTTCTAACTGTAAATTACCTCGAGTTAGCAACTTGTGGCTCCACTAGTCACGATAAATCCTCCAACAAATAAATTTGGTGTAACGAGTAGTTTTAATTGAAACTCCAACAATTAAGCCCATGAGGGCACTACTATTTACAGAACAGAGAACAACTTGTGAAGACTTAAGGAGTATGCATGCATGCATATTAAAAGTGAGGAAAAAGAAGACTGCTGGATTGAAATGTAAAGAGAATAAACATTAAACTTGAGGAAAGAGAGAACTACCTGTGAAAATTTAAAGAGCATTCATATTAAAATTGAGAAAAGAGGGGAATACCTGTGAAGATTTTAAGAGCATTCATTATAAAATTGAGAAAAGAGAGAATTACTGAATGAAAATGTAAAAAGCATACAAGTTAAAGTTTTAAGGAAAGAGAGAACTACTTGTAAAGACATAAAAGCATGGTTGTTAAACTTGAGGAAGGAGAAGACTACTGGATGAAAATGGTTGATAAATTTTAAACCTGTGGGCTTAACTATCAAATCAAAAGAGCAGATAATATCTCTCAAGGCATGTTTTCCCAACCAATTAAATTTTATCTTCATAGTAACAAGTTAAAACATAGAACTAATAGTGACAAAGTTTGCTTCATAATCTTTAAAAAGTTTAATTAACTAAAAATTCAGAGGTTTGAAGATCACCTTAAAAGAGCTGTTGATTGAAACTTACCCCTGTTCAATCTAACCTGTTATAAATCTTGATAAGCATTTGAAATTATCTTTACTTATCATTAGTTTAAGGTTTACCTTATAGTTCTGTTTACTGACAAAGTTAAAGAACCAGTTAAATCATAATTTATAATAAGACACCTCTATAGAATAGTTTTTTTTTAAAGAGTTCTAAACTAAATACCCAATGATTAGTTTTTCCTAGGGTGCCTATAAGCAACATATTATTTATGTATAAAACAGCCTTAGATATGAAAACTAATAACGAATTACATACAATTGTATTGTCTAATTTTAAGGGAAAATCATTGTTTTTGCTTATTCTCCTATCAACTATCTACTCATTAAGATCTTTGATATGATATGTAATGATAATTTACAGCTTTCAATGAACAACGATATAACATGTAATGATAAGTTATAGCTTTTAATGAATGACGATATAGCATGTAATGATAAGTTACAGCTTTTAATGAACAACGATATAACATGTAATGATAAGTTACAGCTTTTAATGAACAACAATATAACATGTAATGATAAGTTACAGGTTTTAATGAACAACGATATTACACATGATAATAATTTACAGCTTTTAATGAACAACGATATAACATGTAATGATAAGTTACAGCTTTTAATGAACAATGATATTACACATGATGATAATTTACAGCTTTTAATGAACAATGATATTACATGTAATGATAATTTATAGCTGTTAATGACCAACAATATTACATGCAATGATAATCTGCAGCTGTTAATGACCAAAGATATTATACGCAATGATAATTTACCAATTTAATGACCAATGATATTACATGTAATGATAATTTAGGTTTTTTCACATGTAATTCATGATAACCTACTAAAGGTTTCTGTATGGTGTTACAAACTTAAATAACTTGTACATAGGAGCCCCACTAAATGAAACAATGAGTTGTAGAGGAACACCAGGTTTATGTACTTTTAGAGAACAATAAAGTAAAGGAAGATGGCCAACAGAACAATGAAAATACTAGTACTGTAAATTTGTTAAACGTATAGTATTCTTAACCTATTTCATCCTATAGTTAAGCAGTTTTTCATATTTAATTATACTTGAGGACCTCATACACACATTAGAATCCTGTACAATTTCCAAAACCTTTATCTGCAGGTAATATTTTAATATCAGTCATCAGATTTACTTCTTTAGAGTTTTTTGTTCAAACTTATGTATATTATCTGGTGGAACTCTTGTATGGTGTAACACATCAGCAACAATATCACAAGTTCCTTCAGATTCCAACCAAGATGTGGCATACCAAAACAGTTGGTAGGACAGGATAGTAATTAAGGCTTTTATGTAAAATATAAAGCTGAGTTTCTTTAATTTGATAAAGGATAAATTTATAACATTATTTAAAATAGCAGAGTATTACCTTGATGTAATTTCTGTTTATTACACAAAGCATCATATTTCTGAATAAGGAATTTTTTCTGCTACTTAAAGTACTCTCATATATCTGATTCCTAAACAACATCACAAGATCAAAGTCTGTTAAATAGGGACCAAGTTGAAGTTTAATGCGAAGTCATTAAAGATAATCCCAGAAAAAGATAAAATGCTAAGTTTTAATCAAGATATTTTGAAACAAAATGGTTATTAAAAAATCTTCCATAAAACAAGAACTTTTTAAATTCTACAGACTATATAAGTCTATGTTTCCTTATATTCATGGTTTAGGTGAAAAGTTATGTAGAATTTTATTATTCTATGAATATCAGTATTTCTTTTAAGCCTTAGTCTTCCCTTAAAAATGTCTTGACACACCATAAAATAAGACATGTCCTTTAGGAAAGTTGGATGTTGTTTATCAAATTGGTTGTAAATATTGTAATGTTAAATACACAGGAAAAGTAGGTGACAATTAAAAGTTAAAATGGGAGAACACAAGTGTGCCAAAAAATAAAAAAGTTTAGAGTATGTTTCTGTAACAAGTCGTATCATTGCCTGGCAGAATTACAAGACATTAGACATACACCAAAAATATATCAGTGGGAGATTTTTAGGAAGGATGGCATTTAGCAAATTCAGGTCCACCTCTTGTTAACAGAGATGCCAACTGAAACCCCATTGCTAAAATGTACAAACCTATATTACTGTTTAATAAAATAGCAATAGATGGTGTAAGATAAAGTTAAGTACTGATAATTGCCACAACTTGTCATAACCTTGAGAATCAATGCCAGTGGTAGTCAAAACATCCGCTATCATTATTATTTTGGCAGGAGTGGTTTTAAATTTTATTCAGTATTATTGTCCCAGCAGTTTACATTTACATTATTGTTACTAAATTTGAAATAAAACTGTGGGAGACAATGGCCAAAAATAGAATTAATAATAAGGATACCCAAGTAAAGAATAAATACATCTTAATCATTACAGATTTTTGAATACTGATTTATAACATTATTTACTTCTAAATTTGCTACACTGAATTGACTTTATAAATTTAAAAGTTTAAGATTTTATTTATATCATTAGCTGACTTTTAAACAGAAGTTATAAGTAACTTCTATATATATATATTGTAATAAAATGCAAATCTTAAAATGGATCTTATGAACAATGTGCCAGTATGGTGTACATATCTTAACAATATATAAATCTAAAATGGACCTCATAAACAATGTGTCAGTATACAGTGCACGTATCACAACATGTATATTTAATAGGATTTGATATAATGTGTTATTATACAGTCTATATAACATAACAGCATGTATATTTAAAATGAATCTTATGAGCAATATGTTAGTATGCTGCATACCAATCATAACAATATATATATATATTTAAAATGGATCTTATGAACAATATGTTAGTATACAGTGTACATATAATAACAATATGTATATTTAAAATGGATCTTATGAACAATATGTTAGTATACAGTGTACGTATCATAACAT